AGGCAGGAGTATTTTTATGAGTTCAAGACCAGCCTCGGCTACAAAGTGAGCTCAAGGCCAGCTTGAACTGTATAATGAGACTCTGTCTCAAAAAGACAAAAACAAAACAAAAAAAGTTACGTTGGAGAGGGAACGAGGAATGATCTGGATATGGAAGTAATAATACTCCTCCCCACCAAAGCATGGGGTGGGCAGGAGGAGGAGGAGGCTTCACTCAGGTGGGCACTGTCTTTCCTGCTTGTACCTGACCTTGCAGTTAGGTGAGGTTGACTGCCCTTGGCAGGCTCTGCTGCTTGACAGCTCAAGGGCCCCTTTAGTGCTTAGCAACGACCTTAACGGCAGAACAGTGATTTTGAAGCTGGGTGTGGCTCCTGGGCAGGAAGCCACCAGCCTGGCCAAAACAGCTAGTGCTTCCTCCTCACTTCCTCTGAGCCCAAACTCCGCCCCCAGCTGGGGTGGTACTTTGTGTTTTGGAGCACAAATAGGAAGTTTCTAGCAAGGATCACTTCCACCACTTACCCAGCTGTGCTATCGCAGGCAAGTCCCGCCACCTCTTGGAGCCCCGGTTCATACAGCTATCTTGTCTTTGGCTCAGCTCCAAGTAGAACCATCCTAGCACAGCGCCTGACACACACAAAACCTCGGTTAACACTGGTGTACGTGACTCTTCCGGATGTGACCCTGCACCAGCTCCATAGTGCTATTTTTTGTGTTACTGGGGATTAAACCCAGGGCCTTCACACTGAGCTATACCCTCAGCCCCCACCCCGCTTTTTTTTTTTCTTTGTCTTTTTTTTTGAGACAGGGTCTTGCTATGCAGTTCAGGCTGGCCATGAGCTCACTTTGTAGCCCAGGCTGGCCTTGAACTCACAGTGATCCTCCTGCCTCAGCCTCCCAAATGCTGGGATTACAGGCGTGCACCACCATGCCCGGCCCTCAGCCCCTTTTTAATTTTTTAAAAAATTTTAAGATAGTGTCTTGCTAAACTGCCTGTGTTTGGCTTGAGTTTGTAATCTTCCTGCCTCAGCCTCCCAAAGTGCTGGGATTACAGGCATGTGCCACCATGCAAGGCTCTTATTTCTAATTTCTACACATCAAATCCTGGTTTGGTTTTGCGTTTCAGTACTGAGAATTTGCATTGAGCCAAATCCAAAGCCCTTTTTTATTTTTTATTTTAATGCAGGGTCTCACTAAGTCACTAAATTGCCCAGGCTGGGCTTGAATTTTTGATCATCTTGCCTCAATTTCCTGCACAACTGGGATTACAGGCATGTGCCATCACGTAGATATGCCAATTCTTACACACTTCTTAAGCCATTTGATTAAGATTTATGCTCTAGGCAGGTGTGGTGGCATGTGCTTGTAATTCCAGCACACTGGATAACAAAACAAAAGTACCCTGGAAGCCTTCCTTATGCCCTCTTCCGGCCACTAACCCTCTGAAAAAAACTAACACAATTTCTATTGCCCTAGAGTAGTATTGTCATTCTCTGAACCGAATGTGATCATTTTACGTCTAGCTTCTTTTGTTCAACATTACGTCTGTGAGGTTCCTCCTTCCCCAAGTATCCTGTTTTCCATGCCCGTGGCATCTCCTCCCCTGGCCCAGCCAGTCTGGGCAGCCAGATCAAACCTACCTCCTTGGGAAAACCTCTGGTCACCTCTGGATTTGAATCACAGATCCTGTATATTTCAGAGTTTTTATGAATCCCAAGTGAGCTAATACATATTAAATACTTAGAATGGTGCCAGGAACCTAGAAAGAACTTAATAAATGTTAACTATTGAAAAAAAAAAATGTTAACTACATAGTGAGCTCAAGGCCAGCCAGCCTGAACTGCATGGCGAGACCCTGTCTCAAAAACACACACACACAAAAGTTAACTATAACTATTGTGAATAATTGGGTTTTCTAATTCCCCTGTAACTGTAGAACTGGATATCTGTCTTTTTGCATCCAATGTGCTGGGCACAAAAGATACTGCTGAACATTGGTTACAACATGCCAGCAACCAATTGGCCCACATAAGTGAATCTCAGATTGTTTTCAGGTTGAAACTTTTGGGGCTGGGGATGAGGCTCAGTGGTAGAGCTCTTGCCTTGCATGCACAAGGCCCTGGGTTTGATCCCCAGCACCACAAACAAAACAAAACAAAATGCAAAAAAACAAACTTGGTTCTAGGTCCCTGCAGTTTCTTACTAAACGCTGCAGGATGGGAAGGGATGAGGTGCTTGGTTATTTCTAGACTTTTCTCTTTCCCCGATCCCATCTCAGTCACATGTCTTCAGGTCTTTAGTGACCCAGATTACCTCCACCGGAGATGTGTAACTGAGATGAAGGAGCAAGCCTGGGCCGGTTAGAGCAAAGATGAGCAGGAAACAGGTTCGGTCAGTTCCTCTGCTTTCTCTGACTCCAGGAAGGTCCAGGTCCGTGGGGAAGGATACGGATGTGGGGACCAGTGGAGGAGGGACAGCAGGAAGGACTGCAGAAGGGGTAGGTCCCTCGGTTGGAACAGTCTGTAGCTGCATCAGCTGCAGCCTCTTGCAGGGTGTCAGGCCAAACCAGGAGCACATCTGGAATCTTAGCACGGGCTGGAGCTCCTGGCAAGGCCTGGAGCAGTCAAGGGAAGGAGGATGCAGGGGTGGGTTGAAGGACACAATGACCCCAACCCCTGGGAAACAACTTTACTTTAACTTAATGTAATTATTTTCATGTTTGTTTATTTATTTTCTGGGTTTTTTGGTACTGGGAATTATTTTGGGGCTTTTTGAGACAGGGTCTTGGTATGTAGCACCAGCTGGCCTTGAACTAGTGATCCTCCTGCCTTAGCCTCCTGAGCGCTGGGATGACAGATATGAGCTATTATTATTATTATTTTGGTCTTTTTGAGACAGGGTCTCACGATACAGTTCAGGCTGGCCTTGAGCTCATTTTGTAGACCAGGCTAGCCTTGAACTTGCAACGATCCTCCTGCCTCAGCCTCCCGAGTGCTGGGATTACAGGCATGTGCGACCATGCCCGGCTGTGAGCCACTATTGACCTTTATTTCTATGAAACATTACGTGTGAGGAGAGCGCATAGGACAAATGTACAAGTAGAATGAATAATGATGAAGATGATACCCACAGTCATCAGAGAGGTCATGAACATTGCCAGCACCTTATTCCCTGAACTTTCCAGATTACAGCCCCTCTTAGAGAGGCAACCCATAGCTGGCTTTTTATGATAATCACTTCATTGCTTTTTGCTGTAGGTGTGTTGGCTATAAATCACACTGAAAGTCTTTTTTGTTGTTGTTGTTGTCTTTTTGTCTTTTTGAGACAGGGTCTCGCTCTGCAGTTCAGGCTGGCCTTGAGCTCACTTTGTAGCCCAGGCTGGTCTCAAACTCGCAACAGTCCTCCTGCCTCAGCCTCCCGAGTCCTGGGATTACAGGTGTGTGTACACTGAAAGTCTTAAATTATGATTTTCTCATGTATGTCCCAAGACTGCAGACTGCAAAGGAGAGCTCCTATCATGTGGATCCTTGGCAGGTCCCTGGGACAGAGGTGGTGGTGGATGTGCAGTCTTTGCCACTTGGCACAGAATTCAGTTCGAGGCGTGTCCCGTTCAGCCAGTTTTTAAGCAATCAGTGCATCTGAAGAGCACCTCAAGGGGCACAAAGATGTACCTCAGAACAAGCCTGCTGCTGGGAGCTCACAGTAGGCAGAAAAAGTCTGGGTAAACATGGTAGAACAGGGTGAGGGCCTGAGGATGGGCTTCCATAATGCTCTGGTGGTTTGGAAGAGGCAGGGGCCACTTTGGCAGTGGGAAGCAGAGTTGGCATCATGCTTGTTCATGCTTTATCACACACTTTTTCTGTAAAATGGCTTGTATTTCAGAAATAAACTTTTCAATTTAATATGAAATATAAAAGAATAATTTCCAAATATATCCATGAACTATAACTACTCAGAGCACTCTACATGGTACATATGACCACCTCTTTCACTCCTAGACTATTTAAAACAGAGAAGTGAGAAGTGGTTAAATAGCTGGGCATGGTGGAAAATGCCTGTGATCCCAGCACTTGGGAGGCTGAGGCAGGAGGATTTTGAATTTGAGGCCAGCCTACACTACAAAGTGAGTTTAAGGCCAGCTTGAACTCCATAGCAAGACCTTGTCTCAAAATAAATAAATAAATAAAAGGTTCAATAAAACTGCAGAAATACTGTTTTCCCTTATTCTGCTGTAGGGATTCTTCATGTGGGTGAAGAACTTATTTGAAAGGATATATCTTAGTAAAAGGAAAATTCTGAACCATTTTTTGTTTGCTTTAGCAGTGCTTACAGTCTGTTAAAAAGATCCTGAGTCTGTCTTTCTTTTTTTGATCCTGAGTCTGTCTTATTTGTCTTTGTGTTATAATGAAATGACAGCAGAGTGGTGCTCTCTGCTCAGCACTGTAGGAGGTGAGATGGACAGCCACGGGGACAGAGCTGCTTCTGCCCAGGCTTCAGTTCTTGTTTTGATACAGGGTCTTGCTAGGTTGCTAAGCTGCCCAGCCTGGGCGTCAGTCTTTAATCTTCTTTGTTTGTTTTTTTTGTTTGTTTGTTTTTTGTTTCTTGTTTTTCTTCCAGTATCAGGAATTGAACTCTCAACCTTGCGCTTGTTAGGCAGGCGCTTTGCCGCTGAGCTAAATCCCCAGCCCCAGTCTTCAGTCTTCTTGCTTCAACCCCCCAGAGTGCCGGGGTTACAGGCATGTGTGAGCCACACCTGGCCTATTAAATTTTTTTGGGGGGGGTATTACTGGGAATTGAACTCAGGGCCTCACACTTGCCAGGCAGGTGCTATGCCCACTTATCCCCAGCCCGTCACATTTTTTTTCAGTGTGGAGATGGAATCCAGAGCCTCACACATGCTAAGCAAGTGCCCTACCACTGAACTACACCGACGGCCTCACTTGTCACCTGTTTTTGAGGGCCAGCAGAGTACCTGAAAATTAAGTAAAAGGATACAAAATGAGTAAAATAAGGCCTCTGCCTGTTCTTAGCCTAATGATTTAATTAGCATAGATACAAATGATACAAATTTCAGTACGGCATGCTTTAAATACCAACTATTATAGGAATGATTGGCTGCCTGGGATTGTCCAGGAGGCTTCAGAGCTCAGGCCTAAGTTAGTTCTTGAAAGGGGAGAGAAAGGAGTATGGAAGATAGCGAATCTCTTGAGTCTACTGAGGCCTGTGCAGAGATGGGAAAAGACAAGGTCAGTGTTGGCAAAAGGTGTGGTCCATGGCAGGAATGAGACTGGGACTTTACAGATAGGATGGATGAACAGGAAAAGTGGATCAGGTAAGCGGAACAGCATGAGCGGGGGCAGAGAGGCAAGAAATCATAGCACCTGCTTGTACAAGGCTAAGTCAGGCTAGCTGTGGCCTAAGATGTGTAATAGAAGGCATGACGGTTAATTTTATGTGTCAACTTGACTTGTGCCCAGATATTTGGTCAAACACATTGTGAATGTCTAAGAGAGTGTTTCTGGATAAGATTAGTATTTGAATCAGAAATCTGAGTAAAACAGATCACCCTGCCTTGTCTAGATGGGCCTCATCCAGTTGAGGACCTATGTAGAAAAAAAAAAAAAAGGCTAATCCTCTCTCAAGTAAGGCAGAATTTTTCTTGCCTTCAGATTCAAATGGAAACATCGATTCTGTCTAGATATCCAGCCTGCTGGCCTTTGTAATAAGACAAACTGTCAGCTCTCCTGGTTGTCAGACCTTAGAACTTGCACTGGAATTATATACCATTGGCTTTCCTGGATCTCTCCAGCTTGCTTTTCATCCTGCAGATCTTAGGACTTGCAGCCTCCATGATTGAGCCAATCTCTCTCTCTCTCTCTCTCTCTCTCTCCTGCTCTCCCCATCAGTCTATTTATCTATATCCTATTGGTTCTATTTCATTGGAGAACCAGAAAGGACGAGGAAATAACTGGAATGGTAAGTTGGTGGCAGACATCAGAGGACCCAGTATGCTTAGCTAAAGGACTTGCAATATTGTTCTGAAGACAGAGGAGAAAACTCTGAGGTTTTTGGAGCAGGGAGTTGGGATCTGGAATGATGAATGCTGCACCAGGTGAGATGAAGTAGAGATTCTTAAAGGAAGCCTCTAGAAACTGGGTACACATTTTGTAGAAATAGGATCTAAGATGCAGAAAAGGTTGGGCACCCCTGGATTTACAAAGGGGCAGGAGCAGCCAAGTGCAGGTTTAGGTGCTGCTCCTACGGAGCAGACAGGAGCTGGAGAAGCACTTGGATTATGCTGATGGGACTTCTGAGTAGGTGGAAATTTAGAAATGGGAGTGGAATAGGGGATAGAAGAGGTAGAGATTTGGAAGTCATCTATATAGGGGGTGCCAACAAGTACTCCACAGGGACAGACAAGAGACCAGGGTGGCAGAGAGGTTCAGCAAGAGTCCTATATTTGTGACAGAGGCCTCCTCAGCCTGGCTTGGGCAGTAGCGGAACTCTGCTGGCTGCTATGACTGACAACTGAAGCAAGACTGGCCCAGGGGCTCCCGCAGTGCCACTGGTACTAGGGTTCGCATCTCCATCTCTCTGCTTGGTTTCTCCCATCCAGCGTAGTCTCATCCTCTGACAGTCTCTCTCCTTGAAGTGGGAAGCTGGCTGCCAGTGGTCCCACGATTACATCCTGCCCTCAGTGAATGGATTTTTTGAACTGAACAGTTTTGACCGAGTTCCAGAAGTGAACCTCACCGAGTTGCATGCCTGTTGCTGAAATGTGATGGCTACGGGGCTCTCTATAATGCTCTGATTGACCAATCCTGTGTCACCTGCAAAGGAGAGGAGATGGAGTCACCTCTTCTAGAGCTACAGTGATGGAGAGCTGGGGTAGGGGCTGCTCCAGGAGAAATGGGAGTGCAGTTGCCAGAGGAGGGGTGACGCTGGAATGGTGCCTGCGGGGTGCCCCTCCTGTTATTAGAGCAGCTGTGGCCAGGGACAGGGCCCCTCGGCTGGAGTCTGGACTGGCAGCAAGGACAGGACAGACTGGGGTCAAGTAGTGAAGCCACTCCAATGTGGGGCTGTTCAGAGGCCAAGGAAGGCCCTTCTGACAAAAGCCTCAGCTAACAAAGTGCTAAGTGAGTCCTTGTCTCCAGAATAAAAAGGTAGGAAAGGCCAAATAGTTGGGTGACGCCCCATCAAGATACTGCTGCTGATGGAAAGGGCAGACATTCTCGGGGGACATTCATGGGATCGTGAGCGGTACAAAGGGAAGGGCGCTGCCAACTGGCTTGGCGGAGGGAGAAGGGCACCACTTTTCTTTCAAATTGAAAAAACTAAATTTATGGCTGGGTGTGTTAGTGCACACCTGTAATTCCAGCCCTTGGAGCCTGAAGGAGGAGGACAGCTGGGAGTTCAGGGCCAGCCTAAACTGCATAGCAAGACCTTGTCTCAAAAACAAAACAAAAAACCAAAAACCTAAGCTTATGCATTTTTACAATAGTAAAATATAAACAGTGGCCTGGGCTGGGGGTGTAGCTCCGTGGCAGAGCTCTTGCCTAGCATGTGCAAGGTCCTGGATTTGATCTCCAGCACTGAAAAAAATTTTACACAAGCCAAGATAACCTAAATTCCAACAGTAGGAGATTGGGTAAATATTGTAATGGCCACACAGTAGAACTCAGCCTTCACAAATGATACTTTTTATGATCTGGGAAGATGTTCACAAACAATGTAGTTTTAAGAGAGAAAGTGGATTACAGACTTATTTTTTCTGCAACAAGTATATATATCCAAAGAAAAAGGTCCGGAAATGGATACTAGAATATTAACAGTTTTTAGGGGTAGAACTAGAACTGAGGCTTTTCTTCTGATTTCTCCACATAATCCTGTTGGATACTGGGATACGGTAGTGGCACAAGTCTCAGCCCTGACATTTCCTGGCTTGGTGTCCTTGGACAAGCCTCTTAATATCTTTAAGTATCAACCAGTTTGTGCATTTACAAAATGAGGGTAATAGTTCTTAATGCAGACAATGGTTGTATTCAATTAGCTACTACTGTATGCAAAGCTGTTAGTATCAGGCTTCCTAAAAAATGTAGTTTTTTTTTTTTTTTTTCCGAGACAGGGTCTTGCTATGCAGTTTAGGCTAGCCTTGGACTCACTTTGTAGCCCACACTGGCCTTGAACTCACGGTTATCCTCCTGCCTCAGCCTCCTGAGTACAGGCGTGCGCCATCACGCCTAGCTATTAAGGTTTTCTCTTTTCCTTTTTTTTTGAGTCAGGGTCTGGGTTGACCTTGAACTCACCAAGTAGCCTAGGCTGGCCTCAGACTTGCAGAGATCCTCCTTCCTCAGCCTCCCAAGTGTGGGACTACGGGCATGCACCACCACACCCAGCAATATAAATTATTTTTGCCTAACATTCAGAAGCACCTGAGAATAAGACAGGGGAGATCCCTATTCTCCTGCAGTTTGCACACTGTTAGGAAAGACTAAAGTAGACTAAGAGCAGGTAGGTGCTGTGAATTAGGTCGACCAAAGAAAGCAGTGAGGACTGAGAGTCAACCAAAGGCCCAGAGAAGAGAAGGCAGGCAAAGCAACAGTAAATGCAAGGTCTTGCGGTGCAGGAAGTTTTTAAGCTAAAAGAAAACCCACGTGGCTGCAGCCAGTGACAATAAGGTGTAGACAGAGATAAGAAGAGAGCAGCATTCAGCTCTTACACCGAGAATACTAAACAGGCCTGGGGCCTCAGGAAGTATTCTCGTAGCTGGTGATCTCCAGCAAGAGAAGCAAAAAAGGGATGATGATATTTGTATTACAAGGTTGCAAGCATCAAGATAAACGTTTGTGGCAGCGCTTCGCACACCACTATTCATAATATTATTAAAAATACTACCACGGGAGTAGAGGTGGAGAGGGCAGCCTCCAGCCTGCGAGGGGCGCCGACGTGCGCCTGCGCGGCAGGCGGGCTGAGCCAGGTCCCAAGGAAAATTCGGGTCGGCCCCGCCCCGCCCCAGACCTCACCAGCCCCTTTCTCTTCGTCCCTCCCACTTCCGCGGGCACCCAACCGTACGTCTCTTGCGTGTTGACGTCAGGTGCGTGCCCCTGTCCGGCCGCCGAGGAGACCCCGCGCACTGCTGCCAACGCCCGGGCGGAGAAGCTGAGGTGAGTGAGGGGCCTGAGGCTCCCCTTGGGAGCGACTGCCCCCTCAATGTGCTGTCCTTGTTGCGCCGTCTCAGGCTTCTCTCTGTCCTCGAGGGCACCTCGTTTCCGGGCCTGGGGCGGCAGGAAGCGCGGAACGCGGGGTAGCGCAGGGCTCGTGTGCGCCCCGGGCGAGCGCGGGTTCGGGTTCTGAGAGAAGCCCGGGGAGGGGTCGCGGCGGGAACCGTGGGGCTGCACGCCCTCGAGACGCGCGCGTCCGTTCTCGGGGTGCCGGCCTGAGGGCGCGGCCGGGCCGGGCTGTCACCGGGGAGCGGCGGAAGGAAGGGGTCACACCCATCCCGCCGCCGGCTCCTCTCCCCCTCGGCCGGCCAGGGCCGGGTCGCCGGGGTCGGCGCCG